GGGGGGGGGACAGTGGCACTTAGGGGGTGGGGAGGGGCAGTGGGGAGAACCCAGGCACCCTCCCTTCCTGTTGGCGGTACTCACTCGCTTGGGAAGCTCAGGAGGATGGATGGATGGATGCTCTCGCTGGCCTCGGGTGGGGGAGTCTCCTTTATCTACCTTCTTGGCCCCCTCCCTCTTCCTCTTCTGCCGGGACCATCTCACCCATCACCCCCAGCCTGGCCAGCCCCCAGAAACCAGCCCACCGGGCGGAGGACGAGCAAGGCTTTGTGGGTTAACTCTTTGAGCAACGCTGAGCCAGGAATGACATGGGGAAAAAACACACACAACTACACAATGGATGCACCAGGTATTCTCTCCCCCCTCCAAGGGGTTTTCTCAGCCCCTTCCTCAACCAAAGACTTGTGATAAGGTGTGTTTTTTGGGGAGGGAGGGAAGGAAGAGTAGGAAAACAGCATTGTGGCTGGCAGAGGGAATTGGCAGGGAGGAGAGTGGTGTGGAGCAAGGGATGCCCACAAGCCCTGAGGGGGGGGGGGTGTTGATTGTGATGGGGGGGGGTTGCAGGAAACCCCAGGAAGGTGGGCAAAGCAGGGAGATGCCAGGGAGGGGGGCTGAAAGGGCCGGGTCAATCTCTGAGGCCCAGAAATGGGGGTAGGATGAATGTTGTCCCAGCTGTTAAGAAGTCTGCCTGCCCGGCCAGCCTTGCAAGAGAACAGAAGAAGGAGAAGAAGAAGAGAAGGACAGAGGATGCGTTCACACAACCGCTTCGTTCCATTGAGGGATGGATCATGGAGCTCTAAGGGGGCTGCTGGATGTGCATAAAAGACGGGAAAGAGAGAGAGAGAGAGAAAGAAGGAAAGGAGGAGGGAAGAAAGGGAGACAAAGGAAGGGAAACGGAGGGAGAACAAGGGGTGGGAGGGAAGAAAAGAAAGAAAAAGGAAGGAAGGAAAGAAATAAGGAAGGAAAAGCAAGAGGAAGGGAGGGAGTGAAGAAAGGAAAGAAAGAAAAAGAGAGGAAGGAAGGAAAAACAAGGGAAGGGAGGGAGGGAAGAAAGGAAAGAAAGAAAAAGAGAGGGGAAGAAAGGAAGGAAGGTTTGGGCACACTTGGCATTCAGCAGGTGTCAGTATACCTGCAGAGATCCAGAAAGAGTGTGTGGACAATGATGGATGGAAGGAAGGAAAGGAGGAAGGAGAAAAAGAGGCAGGCAGAGAGAAAAAAAGAAGAAAAGAAGGAGGGAGGGAAGGAAGGAAAAAGGAGGCAGGCAGGCATAGAAAGGAAGGAAGGGAGGGAGGAAGGAAAGAAGGAAGGAGTTAAAGGGGAAGGAAGGAGGAAAAGGAAAGAAAAAAGAAAAGCAGAGGATGGAAGGGAAAAAGAGAGGGAAGGAAAGAAAAGAGAATTGGAAGAGAAGAGAAAGAGAAAAAACCCAACCATTATTATTATTGTTTTTTTTGACATTAGTGGCTTGAAAGAAAACAAGAACAAGGAACTCAAAAACTCAAAAGCAGCCTGACTTGGCTGTTCAGCCATGCTGGCATCCTGGCGACGTTTCCTGGATGAGGTGGGCAAGAGATGACCAAACCTGTCACGGAGGTTTCTCTTCTTTTTCTTCCAAAAATCTCCTCCTTAAAAGATAGTCTGCCAACTCCCAGACCGCACCAGGCTGTCTCTCTCTTGCCTGGTGACATCCAGACGGCCGGATGACCATTGAGTAGAAACCAAGGAATGAATTCACCGCCAGATTCGGAGGAGGCGAAGAAAGCGACTTTCGCCATCTGAGATTCCGGCCTCAAAACAAGTTGATCCAGGAGGAGTAAGGATGGGGTTGGCGCAACAGTTGGGGGTCTGGTTTGGTTCCAAAGTACGTCACCCCAAAATTTGGGGGCTCCCCAAAAGAGCCCAAACACCCAAGGAATTTAGCATCCCCCCCTAGAATATTCTGTTCTACGGAGGAATGATTGAGTCTGTCCTCTGCACCTCCATAACTGTCTGGTTTGGCTCTGCAACCCAACAAGACAGACGGAGACTTCAGAGGAGAATCAGAACTGCAGAAAAAACAATGGCTACCAACTGGCCTTCCATGGAGGACCTGCACACTGCACGAGTCAAAAAGAGGCTGAGAAAATATCTACAGATCCCTCGCATGCTGGATATAAATTGTTGCAACTCCTACCCTCAAAACGACACTATAGGGCACTGCACACCTGAACAACAAGACACAAGGGCAGTTTTCCCCCCCAAACGCCATCACTCTGCTAAAACAAATAATTCCCTCACTATTGTCAAACTATTCACTAAGGCTGCATTGCTATTACTATTAGTCTTCTCATCCTTCCTATCATCCATCTCTTCCCACTTATGACTGCAGGGCTGTAACTTTGTGGCTTGTATCCTTACGATTTATATCGATTGTTTTCTGATTGCTTATTTCTACCCTATGACTATCATTAAGTGTTGTAACTTATGATTCCTGACAAATGTATCTTGTCTGTTTATGTACACTGAGACCTTATGCGCCAAAGACAAATTCCTTGTGTGTCCAATCACTCTTGGCCAATAAACTATTCTATTCTATTCTATTCTATTCTATTCT